GTGGTGGTGGTGATGGTGATGGTGATGGTGCGGTGGTGGATGTAGTTGGAAGAGAGGGTAGCTGCACGCCCCTGCTCTGCTTTCTGAGTTCTGGCCTGTGCGGTGCGGTGCAGTGCGGTGCGTTGGAGTGCGGTGCGGTGGCGCGGCGGCAATTCCTCGTGCCGTTCGGCACATTTCCCGCGTCCAATTCTGGCACGGCAACTGTGGCCGGCGCGGGCATGAATTTTTGTGCACATTTCTGCTCCTGAAGTGCGACTCGCAGCGATGCCACATGGACCCTTCTTTTCTTCCAAGCCCCGGCGGCACTTTGCAACACATGCTCACCATCACTCTGGCATGTGCGGCATCGGGATCGCCATCGCACCTGCATCTTCGGCGCACGACCATGTGTGGCCTACGGTGCTCGACGCCATCCGTCGCCGAGGGCCCGACTCTCTCCGCACGTTCCACCACCACTTTACCGCGCACTCGCAGCCGTACGCGCTCTCGCTCGCCTCGAGCGTGCTGAGCCTGCGCGGTGTCGGCATCACGGCGCAGCCGCTTGCGTCGACCCATGGACGGCTGCTGCTCGCGTGGAACGGACAGATCTTTGATACCGTCGATGGCGCTTCGTCGTCACGCGTCAGGCTGGATGCGGGCGAGAACGATGCGCAAGTGCTGCTCGACCGCATCACCACCCTCGTCGACGCGGGCAGTGGGTGTGAGCAGGCTGTGAATGCTGCGCTGGCAGAGGTCGAGGCGCCGTATGCGCTTGCGCTGCTCGACACGCACACGTCGACGCTCGTCTTTGCACGCGATCCGCTCGGTCGCAGGTCGCTGCTCCTCCACCGCAGTCCGCGCCACGAGGCGCTCACCATCTGCTCGGTCGCCAGCACCGCCCTGCTCGACTCGATCGCCAACGACCCGGGTGCGACACTCGACGAGATCGACTGCGCCACCATTTGGGCCATCGATCTGCTGCGATCCCCCACCACCCCGCGTGCGCTCCCTCGCTGCCAGTCGCGCTTTACCCAACCGCTCCTCCTGCGTGAGCTGCGCCCGCAACAGCCGGCATCCACAGAGGATGACTTTGAGGCGGCCCGCGACGGCTTTCTGGCTGTGCTTGCAGACAGCGTGCAGCGGCGCGTAGCGAACATCGCCACGGACCAGGCGGCGGGGGAGGCGCATGTGGCCGTGCTCTTCTCGGGCGGCCTGGACTGCACCACGCTTGCGCTGCTCGCCCACCGCTACGTGCCCGCACACCAGCCCATCGACCTGCTCAACGTCGGCTTTGAGAATCCGCGTGCACTCGCAGCCGCGCGCACCGAGCGCCAACGTAAAGCACGTGCCAGCACCGAACCCAGGCGCAGGAACAAGCACCAGCCAGCCAGCACCCCACTCCAGGACGACGCAGCCGAGAGCGCACCCGAGTTGGGTGGAGAAGAGGATATCTACGCTGTTCCTGACCGTCTTACCGGTCTTGCATCGTACGCCGAGTTGCGGCGACTGGCACCCTTGCGGCGGTGGAACTTTGTGGCGATCAACATTGCCTACGACGAGTACACGCGCTACCGCTCACAAGTGGCGACGCTGATGGCGCCCACGTCGAGTGTTATGGACCTGAGTATCGGGTGTGCGTTGTACTTCGCCTCGCGCGGTGCCGGTCTGCTCGGCACTGAGCTTTACACCACCCCGGCCCGAGTTCTACTCTCGGGCTTGGGAGCAGACGAGTTGCTGGGCGGATACTCTCGACACCGCCACGCGCTCTCTAGCGGCCTGTGTGCACTGGTGGATGAGCTGCAGCTGGATTTGCATCGCTTGCCTACCCGCAACCTCGGCCGCGACGATCGAGTCATCTCGACCCATGCAAGAGAGGCACGATACCCCTTCCTAGACCGCACCGTACTCGACTACCTCACATCAACACCCACCACCACCAAGATCAACACTGACCTCCTCAAAGCCGGCCAACGCGGCGACAAGTTTCTCCTGCGCAAGCTCGCCCAGAGCTTGGGACTGGTGCAAGCAAGTCGGCTGCAGAAAAGAGCCATGCAGTTCGGCACGCGCGCCGCCAAGATCGATCCGCACTCAGGCGCCATCAAGGGCCACCACAAGGCCTGAGACTCTGCATCACCAGCCACGCATCATCGGAAAGAAAGTGTCCAATTCATCATGCAAGCCCAGCGTTGTACAAGATCGGCTGCGTAGCGAGAGTGATGATCGCCTAGTGCGAGTAGTTGCCCACGGGCGGGTAGGCCATGTTGCTCTTACCCGGCCCCTGGAATCTGCTTGGGCTAGTACCCCTGAACGAGTCGTGTGTCATAGCACTTCCCGCACCAAGCATAGTCCCATCGCCCTCTGACGACGCCGTGCCAAAGCCGGCATCCTTGACCTCCCAAACCGCCTGTTTGCTGCCCACCGAAAACTCGAGGTCCTCCTTGGTGATCGAGTCCCAGTACTTGTACACCATCATCACCGCCAACAGCATGCACAGCGTTCCGAAGAACGTGCCGTCGATGTAGTGCTTGACTGCCCTGCAGACCTCCTCGCCGAATCCGTACATGAGGATCAATCCTGCGGCGAAGAAGAACAGCCCGAAAGTGATGTCTCCCAGCGGCCAGCGGTCGTCGAGCGTGCGCAGGACGAGCAGCACCTGGCTCACCGTGTAGATGAGCACGCACGCCAGCGGGAAGATGAGCTCGACGATCCACAGACCCGTCTGCTTTGTCGGCGACATACCCGCAATCCCCTTGAACGTTGCAATCGACACAAACATGCCGATACCAAACAGGACCACCGAAGACAGCCTGAGGAACCACAGCGACTTGGGTGTGCCATCCTCGGCAAACTGGAATCCCACAAATCCGTTGATCAACAGACACCAGAATATGGCCGTCTTGAGTCCCACGTAGACCGCGGTGAGGTAGAGGTAGGCTGCCGAGTAGGTGGGCACAATGGCCGAGTCCAAAAAGATGACCAGCACCTCCGAGATGGCGTAGAGGTAAAAGAAGAGTACGATCTCCTTGCGACCGACGGCGGTGTACTTGCTGCGGATGTGGTACACCATGATAGCCGTCATGACGAGCGCGGCGATGTGGATGAAGCACGTGGCGGGCTGAAAGATGATCGTCTTGTTGATCTCGACGTTTCTCGAGTAGCACACCGGTTCGAGCCCCAATCCCGAGTTGCCGAGAAGTGGACATACGACCATGGCCACCTCGTCGCAGATCGAGCTGTACGATCCGAATGAGAAGCCCATCTTGCGTTTGTTTTGCTGTGAAGCTGGGATGCAGAGATGGTAGCAAGGCGCGACGTGTAGCAGTAATGGTCGTGCAGCAGCAAGAGGCAGTCGCAATCGGCCAAAAGTTGGCGCACTGAGCATCTGCCGCCTCGGCCAAGCCAAACTGCACTGCACTCTCAAACCCTCACGTCCGAATCAACACAATCGGCCCTCGTGCGATTTGCAGCCAAAATAGCTGGGGGCGCGCCCAACATGCACCTCGAAAATCGACCAATTCAAAATCGCACACCGCCCATGCATCTTGACGCCCGCCGTGCTGCTGGCAACCCCGAGCCAGAAGGCGAAAAATTCCCACTTTCACCCGCACACCACCCGCCCCCGCCCAGTGTAGGAAAGGGGCAGCGGCAATCCCCTATCCACGCGCACGCGCGGCCAAATCCACACTGTACAAGTCTCGCATTCACGATTACGATTCTGAGCCCGATTCAACGCTCGCACCACCCTCACATTGCAAAGTAAATGGCGTGCGGTATGCTGTTGCGATGTCTAGAGCGCCCACACCTTGACGACACTGTCCTTGCCGCCCGAGACGGCATAGGTGTCCATGTAGCGCAGCCTCTCGACCGGCGACGTGTGGCCGTTGAGCGTGAGCGCGCCGTGCTGGAGCGTAGTGCGGTTGAAGATCTTGACGCCGTTCTCGCCCGTCGCGGCGAGGATCTTGCGCGAATCAAACTGGAGCGCCGTCACGGGATGGTCGTATCGGATCGTGTCCGAAATGCTGCCCATACGCAGATCCCAGATGCGGATCGACTTGTCCAGACTGCCCGAAATGACATGGTGCTCGTCGAACTGCAGACACGTCACCGGCGCCGTGTGGCCGAGCAGCGTTCTGTGTGCCTGACCCGTTCGCATATCCCACATCCTCACCCCTCCATCGCCCGAACCACTCGCCAGCGCGTAGCCCCAGAACTGAACCCCTCCGACAAAGTCTTGGTACATCTCCCAACTGCCATCCGCATACGGCGGCGTGGGGTACGCAAAGGCTCCCGAGACGTTGTTGAGCACGCTGAACGAATCGCGCGAGCTCAACTCGGGTCGTGTGGCGCCGAGGATGGCCGAAGAGGATGCCTTGCGCGACGGCGACTCGGGAAAGCCAAACTCGGACTGCGAAATGGCCTGCGACGAGGTCGGGTTCGAGATGGCCCAGAGGATGTCCATGGTGAGCACGCACTGGCCCGTGTTGAGATCCCACTGGCGCAGCGTCTTATCCGACGCGCCCGTCACGAGGCAGTTGTCGTCAAAGTACAGCGCCGTGACCGACTTGCTGTGACCCTCGAGACTCTTTACGCACGGATCAAACTCGTCCCTCACCTCCTCCTCGTCCTCCTCGCCCACCGTCGTGTCGCCATCGCGGATCTTGATGCTGTCCATGCTCTGATCGCCAAAGTCGGGGCTGCGGTTGAGATCCGGCGACCGCTTGCGCGCACGCAGCTCGCCCGACGCCGTCATGCTGAGCCGCGCCTCGAAGTTCTCCACCTTGGTGAGGTCCCAGATGCGGATGGCATGGTCGGTGCCGCCGGTGATGCACACCTCGTCCTCCACCTGCAAGCACTTGACGGTGCCCGAGTGTCCGCGCAGCCGTCCGACCTCGTCGCCCGACGCCAGATCCCACACGCGCACCGTCTCGTCGAGCGACGCCGACACGAGCGTGCCGTACGGCTCGGTAAAGTCGAGCGACGTGATGGGCGCCGAATGGTCGGCGAGCGTCATGAACGCCACGCCCGACGGCAGCTCGTCGTGCTCCGACGGCATGAAGAGCGGGCCCTTGCGCCGACGGCTGCTGCCCTGACTCGTGGTGGCGCCCGACGCAGCCGCATTGGCTGCCGCCGCCGGCCCACCAGGCATGGCACGCAGATGCTTCTGCACCGCAAGCAGCTCCCCCACGCCCTCGTGCTCGTCGGCCAGCTCGAGCTCCTCCTCGCGCAGGCCGAGCAGCTTGGTGTGCAGGCCCGCCTTGATCTTCTCCAGCACCTGGATCTTGGCGTCCACGGCGCTCACCTCGGCATCGATGAGCGCACGCTTGACACCCACATCGTCCTGCTCGCGCTCGATCTCGCGCAGCTGGCGCTCGAGCTCTTCCAGCTGGATCATCGACGCGCGCGCGCCGTCCTTGCCGCGCGACAGGATGCGGCTGGCGTGGTTGCGCCGCGCGTGGCGCTGCTCGCGCGCCTGGAACGCAGACACTGGCTCGGTCTCGACGCCCTCCACCATGAGGCCGCGCGCCTTGTCGCCCATCGCCTTGAGGCCGAGCTTGGTGGGACCCTCGGGTCCATCTTCGTAGCCGCTTGCGATGGCGCGCACGCGTCTGCGTCGCTGGCGTCCTTCTGTGGAGCTGGGTATCGTTGCCTGGAAGCCGCGGAGTAGGGAGACGGGTGGTTCGGAGCGCGACTTTGCGTCTTGGATTGCGGCTCTGGAGTTGGAGGAGGTGTTGTCTGTGAGCGCGAGGTCTTGAGCTGCGGTGGCGAGGATGCGGTCGCTCTCCTCGAGCACAAAGAGCTCGTGCGAAGTGATGCCATTCATGGGCCCGCGGCCGATGCCGGACTGGATGAGCGAGCCGCCGATGCGGACGAGCGAGCGCGCCGGGCTCGAGATGGAGAAGCCGGGCGTGAGGAGCAGCCGCGCGCGTCGCTGGCCGTCCGAAGTGAGTCCGAGCGCTGTGTTGGAGTTGGCGACGGCGGCCATCATGCGCGTGGTCATGAGCTGGGGCGCCACGTCCGAGAGCAGCCGGCCTGGCTCGGAGTGTGCGTTGGCGCCATTGGAGCCGAGGTAGGGCGAGCCGGGTGCAAAGGGTTGGAGGTACGCTTTGGTGGAGCTAATGGCGCCGGAAAGCGTGTTGCGGATGGATTGGGACGCTGGCAGGCCCGAGCTAGCCTCGCCGTTGCGCGAGTCGTAAGCCGAGTGGGGACTGTAGCTCATCCTTGCGCAAGTGGCGGTGGTGATGATGGGTGGGAGGGGAGCGAGTGGTCAAGGACCATGTGCCCGGAAGGGGTGCGGCTGTTGCCTCGAGTGTGGAAGCTTGCAGGTTGTGCAGCGCAGAGGAGAGGTAGGATTGAGATAAGGTTGTCGGAGGTGCGCTGGCGGGAGGTGCTGCTAAGGTGCTGATTGCTGGCTGTGCGCGTACGAGGCACAATATTCGCGCCGAAGGTGATGGTCTTGGCGGCGCTTTCTGAGAGCGGTGCGCAGATGGATGCGCTGAGGTTGAGGTAGCCCAGCACGAGCTTGTTGGGGGCGCGTGGATGAGGTCGACGATAGAAGGACAGACAGGGTCGGGTTGGAGGGGGTCGCAGTGGCCTCTCTCTCTCTCTCTTTCTCTCTCTGGATTGGCTGCCGCTCCACCTCTGTGCCCGAGCAAGCGCGCTTTTGCCCGAGACATGCAAGCGAAAAAAAGCTGGGAAATGACGCGCACCCCCAGTGTGTCGGTGACAGTCGGTACCGGGCACTTGATGCCAAAGCCTCGCCGACCGGGACAAAATCAGCGTGAGTCGGAATTGGGCATCTTGGGCGGCTAAGTTACCCGATCAAGACCGATGGATCGGACCGATGGGCTTCTTGGCACGCCGCTGTCGGGGTTGCCTTCTTGTCGTTCTTCTGTGGCATGCCCTCGGACCTTGTGCATGTAGCTTGAGCCTGTTCACCTCCGAGGCCAGCGCTTGTGTCAATGTACCACAAGGCACTACTCTCGCGGCTGTGACAAGGACGGCGACGGCGGCGCAGGGCTGGATGCGAGGTGCCTGCGCCAAACTGGCTCGAGAGCCTTTTCGCACGATTGACGCGTGACAAGCTTCTACGACACGCAGGCTCGTGTGGCGTTGTCGATTTACGCGACAGCTCTTGCGTCCAGGCGTGTGATTTCTGAGGTGAAGCTCGCCGAGACCCTGCTGGCTGCCAACGCCTGCTCCCAGGCCCCAGAGACCGATTCAGCCAATTTCGACTCGCGCCGGCGCTCAACGCAGGCCCAAGCCGAATCCGAAGCTCGACTGTCTCTGCTCGCAACGACGCACGGGCAGGGGGGGTCCAGTGAAGGGCCTTCTTTCTTCGCCCCGTTTGCTCAGCTGTCCTCCCTTATTGCGTGTGCTCACCTACCTCCCTGGGCCATCATTGCTTCTCATCCTCCTCTTGGACCATCGCCATCAGCTCTTCAGCGTCGAGCACCTTCCTGCTTCCAACATGCCGATCACGAGAGCCTTGTCGAGCCGCCTGCGCTCCGGGTCGCGCCGACAGTCGACGCCCGCTTCTGCGATCAACCACCCAACCGAGGATGTATCGGTGCTCAAGAGCCAGGCTCAGGCAGCAGCCGCCGTGGTGGAGCCTGCGCGCGCACTGGTGGCCAGCGCCCTCGCTCAGCTCAACGTCCACACCACCGCCAAGGATGCAGGCTCGACTTCGGGCTCGAGCTCCTACGCTGCCAGCACCGCCGCCTCGACCACTTCGACATCCTCAAGGCCTCGCTACTCGCGGGGCACCAGTCGCCTGTCGTCTCGGCGCTCGGTGCTCGGCAGCTCCGAGTTTGGCGACTCGTCCGATGATGAGAACGACGACAAAGGTCAGCAGCGCAGGATCGGCGGATGCTCCTCCCGAATCACTACCGCCCACCAGCCGGACGACAGCAACAAGGAGAACGTCGCCCCCTTCCGCTGCACCTCCCAAGACGTCCTCGACGCCGAGGCTCGTGACGTCCAGCACGAACACGCCATCCGTCGCACCACGCCTTGTCGCCGCACCAGCCTCATGGAGCGCCCCTCGTTTGCACCTTCACCACGCCTCAGCCGCAGCTCCACCGTGTCCGACCTTTCCGCTTCCTCCCAAGGTGAGTATCTCGTGCTTCATTGTGCTTGCAGCTACAGTACGACAGACAGGCCATGGATTGGTGGCCGCAGACCCGATCGATTGGCTGCAGACCAAGGGTGCAGCACTGTGACGCTTGCAAAATGGACCAAAAAACTCCACTCTGGACGGTCACATTTTGTGTTGGGAATATGCAGCGCGCGATGCAGCTTCCAATGCAGCTTCCCAGCCGTCACGCAGCTCGGCTCGGCTCAGCCTGCCTGCCCGTCTGTCTGTCTGTCTGTCTGTCTGTCT